GGGGGGGGGGGGGGGGGGGGGGGGGGGGGGGGGGGGGGGGAGGGGGGGGTATGATGTCCATGGTTCATATAATAGACTGCCCAGAGTGCTGCTTCTCTCCTTGGTAGGTAGCCAAGAACACAGCGCAAAAGTTGCGGGTGATATCCTAAAGTCGAAGAACACCCAAAACTCATGTATGGTCAACAGATATCCAACAAGAACAGACACGTCCTTTGTGTTTTTGGTATTGCACCTTGAAAGACTCGTCCCACTCGAGAGCGCGGGCGGTAGAGCATGCGATCGACTTTCCCATGGGCACGGTCTCCGCCGCAGAAGGGGTGGGGAAGAACTCCTCGAAGATCTTGCGGTACAAGTACGCCTGCCAATATTTGGGGAAAAGTTTGGTCCAGGGATGAGAAAGAAACCCGATGGAGCAACAACGGTAAGGACAGGGAGACGAGGGGGCTGGAAGGACTATCGAATGGGCCAAGAACTGACGTTGTCCGACAAGATTGTCCGGCAGACAAAAACAAGGATTGTGGTTGGCCTTAGGGCTTCATTCAGCCAAGCAGTTTACGGTTGTGATGTAGGGGGAAAGGGGGGTCAGCAACAAAACCGTTTGGCCAAGGCATGATGCCTGACTGAGCTATGTGTTGGGCGGCATCTTCGCCGGGGGCGTGCATACAGTGTCGGCCTTGAACAACGAAATCCTGTCCCGGAGGAGCCGTGAGTGCACGGCTTGATCGTGCTGATAGTTGCAACAGCGGATATCTGCAGCTTTCCCAATCAACGACGTCTACAAGCAAAGACCAACACCATATCGAAGGTTCCACCACAATAAAGGTCGGCCGACTGCCGGCAAGGGTTCCGTTTTGGCGCAAAGCAGATAAACAAGCCGAAAACACAGAGACAAGAGGACATGTGCGGAAAATGTGAGTTCTCTGTTCCCCTGGACTTTTTCATCTTCTGTTTTGTCTGTCTTGTCTGTCTTGTCTCCCCCCATGCCTCTCTCGCTCTCTCTCTCTCTCTCTCTCTCTCTCTCTCTCTCTCTCTCTCTCTCT